ACATTCACACTTACATATATTCTCAGAGCCAAATCTACACCAATACCCACACACGCAAACTCCTTCCCAACTTCATCCACCATTACACCATACCCATAGTCACACTTACATCCACACTTAACTTGGCACAGAATTTCATGCACACTCACTCACTCCCACATTCGCACATTCACCCATACTCAGGACAATATCTACACACATTCTCACACACGCACACGCCTTCATAAATTAATCCACTCTCTCCCCATACCTCTTCTTACACTATTATCCACACCCATTCCCACACCTAATCCCACACTCGTGAACATTCAGACTCAGACCTATAACGACTCGTGCACCCCGCTCACACACACACATTCACAGACTTATTCAGAGCCAAAGTCACGCCCAGTCCAGTGATCCATCTAAAACTGCTCTATTTAACGTTGTGCAATAGTTACGATTGTGTGGCTCAGATTTCCACAAATTGACGCGATAGCGACACGCCTTGATAGGAGTGCCTATAGCTGTAGTCCTATTAACAGAGGGGTAGGCAAAAGTAGGAACAAGAGAGAGTAGATGGGTTGAAAAGTCCATTGACGGCGAGCAACACAAGTACACATCCAGGCCTAGCAGTCCCAGTGGAGTGGAGACAAACGGATTATGCACAAAATGCTACTTACTTCGGCTACCTTGTTCGTCTCGCTCGCCCACTTGACTGACTAACTGGGCCACTATCCACTTCTACACACTTGTTCTCTTTCACGGAACCGCCTAGTCAGGCCCTAATGTGTCCTCAGTGCATCACTCCGTGTGTGTGTGTGTGTGTGTGTGTGTGTGTGTGTGTATGTATGTGTGTGTGTGGAGATGTGTGCGTAATTTGTGCCTCGGTTGTCTGACCCAATCATACATTAAAAGTAAAGGAGTTTTTAATTACCGAGCCATTCAACTTGGCCTTCCATTCGGAAGACCGGCCTCCTGTGGCGCTAGAAAATTGCATCTCTTTCAGGCCACGACCAGTGGCCTAGGCAACAGGTCGATGTGTCCGACTGATGGTCATCCTGGCCTAGGGTGACCAAACTGAAAGCAGAGCAGGAGTAAGGGTGATTTGAATGAAGTACAGAGACAAGCAACGTCCAGGCTGGTGAAACTGTACGGGTGGAAGGGTCATTGATGTTGTTTGGCCATTGCCTCCGAATCAACAACCTCCGCACCAGTTGGGTGCCAGCGTCATGCGTTTGATGGTATGCCTATGAGGGTTTCAGAGTTGTCAGTCGAGACCTTACACGCGGAATATGGCGTTCGCATCAAGACCATGTGGGTTCAGCCCGTGAGTCTGACGCAAAGTGCCCTTCGGTCGGCTCAACTACCAGTACCTCTTCCGTCCAACTTGACCGGATCATTTTTGTATCCCATCATCTCTTCTCTCATACCCTTCGTGTCGACACATTGTCGTCCTGGCGACCGAATTTCACCACCAGCTCATCAGCACTGCTTTGGTTGCGGAGCTGCAGAAAACCCTGGTTAAGCCAGCATCAGTCGAGGAGAGATTACAATTAATAGATTAGGGAATACATTAAAGGCGAGGCGTGAGAATTATGAAATTATATAAGAATCACCTATTCAGATTGAACATATTTCAAAACTGCCACTAGAACTGGAATAAGAACTTTTCTTGATACATTCAAACGAACAAGATTTTTGACATTTTCAATTATTCTTGAAGATAATTCTTGATATCAATGGCTCCTAATACCCACGAAATTTACCAAAACTGTACACTAGCCAAGTGAGATAGAGAAAAAGATAGGTTCTAAAAAGACAAGTAAATCCTGAATATAAGCTGTATTCGTACCTGTTAGCATAAAGTGAAAAAGGACTAATAGTTGCATTTTACCACAATCATATGAGGAGGCCTTGTGGTGCCACTGAATTTCACTTGCCTTTGCCTCACAAAAGGTATTTTCATCAATACTGGGCTGTAGTTTCGACCTCGTCTGGGTCTCAGCAACACACCCAGGAAGATGATAACATGTCGAAATTATATGTTACACTACACTGGTTCGGTTCCCGTTTGTGATGTTGCTGAAGCCAAGGCGGGATCGAACCTGCAGTCCAGTCCAGGCTGGAAGAGACTAACTATTAG